AAAAATAAATAAACGTTGGAAAAAAAAAATTAAAAAAAAATAAAAAATAAAAATAAATATCAGATCTTGTTAATAAATGTATATTATGCTTTTTTAAATAAATGTATACCATGCTTAAGTACAAAAGTAAGTAAATGTTTGCTTTTCTTAAATTTTCTATCCATCAGAAAACTGGGTCCGTTTTTCTTTTACATCTTGAATACAAGAAAAGAAACTGATTTTATTCAACTAGTGTTTTCAGATTACTTATAGGTATTTATCTGGTGTGGAAGATGTTGTGCTTTTCAGTAAAATGTGTAAGAACTTCACCAAAATTTCATGAAGTTGAGATACTATCCTGTTCTTGATGAAATGGACACAAACAGATGTGGGTTTCACTTAGTAGAACAAAACACACTTGGAAATTGGCAACTGAGTTTGAGGGTAATTGTGTATTTCAATAAAACACATCTCATGCGATGTATTAACACATGTAAAATGGGAAATAAATACAAACGTTGGCCCTTTCTGCCAAATCTACCAGTGGTGATTTATTTTTTATATGGAAAAATGACAGTTCACAGCTTCACTGGTTTCTTCCTTTTCTTTCCATATGGAAATGATTACCTTTTTGCTGTTTTTCTTATCAACTGTTGCTATGATTTAAAATACTGGGCCATATCTTATTTCTAAGGAATGTAAAAAGTGGTCTGTTCAGTTGCTAAAAGGCACACCCCTCTGCTGCATTTTGTTAACCCAAGTGTACTTGAAAAATAATCAGATAATAATTTTTACAAAATAAAGTTAAAAGTAATTATTTTACATTGAAGATATCCAGAGACTGAAACAATTTCCCTAATTGAACCAACATTAATGAAGACCTGTAACTCACGGGGGGTTAAGCTAATTCTGAGGAACATTGCTAAAAGAGAAGCTAAAGAAAGTCATAAGTATAAATCATTTTATATTTGAGAAAGAAATTCATGTCCAATGGTGACAAGTGTATTTCTAATTTGACATCTCATGAAATCAATGGCAGGTGAATATTAGAAGAAAGCCCCAATTTGACACAGCTCTGGGTCCATTCACTTATATGAATAGAGTCTCTGTTATGATCCACAACTACATTATTTGATGTGTGTAGATACCTAAATATTTGCAGACTTGTTTTAAACATTTACATGGAAAATATTTTTTTGTCTGTGTAGGGTAACATTTTTGGTATCAGACTTGTGATTTAACTTAAAAACTAATACAAAGAAGCTGATCAAGATAAAGCGGTGTCAGTGGAAATGTACTTTGTGTAGAGAAAACAGCCAATCAGCCAGGACAAAGTAGAATCTTAACTTCCTGGGCATACAGATCCAGAACCTTTAAAATTTATATATGTGTGTGTGTGTGTGTGTGTGTGTGTGTGTTCATTTATTTGTGACAGAAAGAGTGCAAGCAGAGGAGGGACAGAGAGAGGGAGACATGGAATCCAAAGCAGGCTCCAGGCTCTGAGCTGTCAGCACAGAGCCCGATGCAGGGCTCAAACTCACGAACTGTGAGATCATGACCTGAGTCCAAGGTGGACGCTTAACCAACTGAGCCATCCAGGTGCCCTCAGATCCAGAATCTTTGAACTTGTAATATCTTAGATTACTGGGTAACTGGAGAACTATGTTGTCACTCACATCCCACAGTGCCAGGATGCACCCCCTATAGGCAGTAAGTACAGTGTAAATTCAAATGGCTGCTTATTTTCAAGCCTTTTCATTCTCCATTTGTGCTCTTGTCAAGAACTCCTTAAGCTGTAGAACCTGTTTCTTCCCATTTGGTCCCTCTTGATTCTAACTTTGCCCCAACAACACTAATCTACAACATCTTTCTCCTTTATTTAACCTGTCACTTAGAACTTAGCAAATGTATCCACAATTCACTGTTGTGGATTGGACAGGGCTGTTCTATTGGACAGGTGTCTATTCTAGACATCTCCGTTTGTTCATTCGTTTATTCAGGCAGTATCTATTCAGTGCCAGGCATTGAACTAGATGTTGATGTAGGAGTCAATGCCACATAGTCTGAAGAAGCTTACAATGTAGCTAAGTTACTTTGAACGTCTTAATGCTACAATCCTAGCTTCCTAATTATTATTATCTTCCACATGTCCGTGTTCCACTTTTTTACAGCAAAGCCGTAGTACAGGGCTAAGAGCTCTAGTCTAGGCTTTAAATTTGACACGCCTCCTCACTGGCTCTGTGGACTCTTTTGCAGTGTACATACCAGTGATTCTTCTCCTGACCACCATGTTTATCACACTTGAATTCCTGTCCAAAATTTTGTTTTAAAACATGCTCCATATGTTCTTATCACAGTATTCTCTCCCCATGAGCCCAAGGTTTGGCAGTCAACCCTTTCTTGTTCTTCAACCTACGTACCAAATACGGCTTTACTAGCTTGTCATTGGCAAAAAATCAGTTATTTAGAAGATGTTTGCTCATCTGTATCAATCACATTGTTTCCTATGGTTTTTAGGGATATGAGCTAAAAATCTGGCTTTACATATTTAACTAACTTCTTACTCCAATACTCTGAAATGTCTCAGATGATGCAATGTCAGCCTTATTAATAAATGGAACCCCATTTCCAATAGAATGCTTGCACAAGAAGCTAAGGTAATGTAAATATTCAAGTTTCAGGGGAACACAGTGTGGGGTCAGTGTTGTAGAAGATATGGCATTAAAGGGAGAAGAGCAAAAAGAAAATCCCATTTAGATTCCAGGGAGCCAGGAACACAGGAAGAGATGAAAAGGAAGGTTGATGACGCTCCCCACGACCAAAGAATTGCTATCAAGCAAAGAATGGCTTACAAGCATTTTAAGAAAAAGACTTGCTGGTTTTTGAAATATGGACTTTACCTAAAGATAAAAAAAAAAAATCTAAGAATAGCTTAAAAAGAAACAGCACATGGCATCTGGGTGGTTCTGTTGAGCATCTGACTCTTGATTTCAGCTCAGGTCATGATGTCATGGGTCATGAGATCAAGCCCCACATCCGGCTCTGCTGATAGTGCAGAGCCTGCTTGGGATTCTCTCTCCCTCTCTTTCTGCCCCTCCCCTGCTCGTGATCTGTCTCTCTCTCAAAATAAAGATGAATACTTTTATGGCTTGTCTACTGATAAGTACACAAAAATTCAAAGATTCTATGCTTGATGGGTGATGGGCATTATAGAG